ATGGATGGATGGATGGATGGATGGATGGATGGATGGATGGATGGATGGCAGCTATAGTCCAGCCTGTCAAGTCCAGCCCTGCTTGTGACTGGAAAGGGTCTAAACCATTTCAGTTTCCCCAGATGGGCTTTTGCCGCTGCTTTGGAGGTCTTGGGTCACTCGTTCAAGGCTCTAGCACCAGGGGGGCCTTGAGTCTTGCCACGGTTCCCCCTTGGTGAGCCTCACGGGCAGAATGCCATCTCAGCCGCTGAGACACAGCTGGTGTTCTGGGAGGTTCTAGAGGTTCTGAGTATTGTTCTTGCTTCCTGTGATTTGGTTTTCCATTTCCATGGTGGGAAGAAGGTTACAGATCAGTTAGTCAGACTGAGTCCTGAGGGGGTTGAATTCCTTGCCTCCGCCGCCTCATTTTCTCTCTCTGGAGTGAGAAGAGCTGAGCTCAGACCCCAGCTCTACCTCCCCATGTCAGCGAAGACTCGTGCACTTCTGTGCGCCTCAGTCCTTTCACCTGTGGCTTGAGAGCTGCTTGAGATCAGGACCCACTCTCTTTCCTCCTTTGTTGCCCCTCTCCCTCCCTAATCGGTGTTTGCTGGGTTACTGAGGAGGCTGCCTTCAGTCTCTTGTGGCTATCACATCCAGTCATCTCGGCCCTTCTCTGCCTCAGGTAGTGTCCCTGCCCCACCCCTACCCCTTTCTCTCCTCAGGGCCCAAGAGTTGTCCAGGCCGGCTTGGATAGTTTGAATTAAAGGAAGACTTTCTTTTTTTATGGTTTTACAGTGTTTTTCTTCTGAAGTAATATATTCCTTATAATTTGAAACAGTTTCCATAGAATTCTCTGTATGTAGAAGCCACATAATGTAGTCAGTAGAGAACCCTCCTCCAAGTCAGAAGACTTGGGTTCTAATCCAGCCTTAGATGTGTGTGGCTGTGTGACCTTGGGCAGGTACCTTTACCTCTCAGTGTTCTGGGCTCAGAGCTTGTTTAGAGTTAGAGTTTCTAAGACTCAGTTTCAGAGAGGTTCTGACCTACCTTGACAGAGGGAGTGTTCTCACATGGGAGTTCCCCCGAGTTATTGAAATCACAGGGCTAGTGCTAATTTGGATCCTAATGTAGCTGTATTTAGTTAATGACTTGTAATGATGGGAAAAGAGCCGAATCTCAAGTGGATTTTTAGCACCAATTCTTTTTTTTTTTTTTGGCTATGCAATGGGGTTAAGTGACTTGCCCAAGGTCACACAGCTAGTAAGGGTTATGTGTCTGAGGCCGGATTTGAACTCAGGTCCTCCTGAATCCAGGGCCGGTGCTCTATCTACTGCACCACCTAGCTGCCCCACATTTCTTAATGTATGACTCTAAATCCTGTTTTTTTGTTTTGTTTTGGTATGGTGTTAGGCCAATCTTCAAAAGTACATGAAGAAATTCCCATTTGCTGGGCCAAGTGTGGTGGCACGTGCCTGAAATCCTTGATGCTGGGGGAGGATGAAGCTGGTGGATCCCTGGAGTTCTGGGATTCTAAGCCCCTGGGAGCAGGGGGGCCACCAGGCTGCCTAAGGCAAGGCGAATGGCCCAGATTGGGAAAATGGAGCAGCATTGAGGCTGGGCATGTGGCAAGATAGGGAGACCCAGCATCCAAAAAGAAAAGGAAAATTCAGATTGGGTTTATGTTATTTTGTTACTAATGTGCTAGCACAAGCCTTATCAAAAATACAGAGTGAAAGAATCTGCTACTCTTTGCTCTGCTTTATCTGCTTGCTGTGTTGGGAGGCCCCCTTCCCAGCAAGTTGGGATGCAGGAGTGCTGGCGGCAGCCCAGGCCTCGTGTTCCGGCTTCATCTGATGGCCCTGACCTTCTAAGGCCATTTCTGTTAAACACATCCACAGATTGGAGCACGTTAGGTTTGGTTCGGCTTTTTTTTTGTTTTTTGTTTTTTTTGGCAATGTTTAGCACCACTCATTTTTGGAAAAGAGGTTTATGTTCTTTTTTTTAGAATTCAAATGTCTCCACACAGTAAGTGCCTAATTAATGCTTGTTGTCTCTGTGTTCCTGATCTACCATTATCTGTTGCAGGAAACTAGCGATTTCTGTTTACTTATTTCAGTCTCAAATGTTGCTTTAAATTAGAGGAGGCTTTAGCCAGGATTTATTTTTGCCACAGGCTTTTTTTTTTTGTAATGGAATTTTACTAGTTTATTTTCCACACGCTGGTGTGGTAGTCTCTTTGAGGAAGGAGGTAGCTAAGTACAAAGACCCCCAAAGAACCCTTACTATGCATTTAGTGGTTGAACCAGAAATGGCACCAGCCTCCTTGGTATTCTGTCAGAGTCCCCAGCTCTCTGGGTGTCTCTAAACTGAGCTCAGTTAAGTTGCTGCCCCATTCTGGCTTTGGGAAGGAGGAGTGGAAACCCCAGGATTCATAACCTGAAGCTGCTACGTTGAATTTTCACCCCTGGCCATTAGGGAACTGAGCTCCTGTCTGCCCCAGAGCAGAGACAGCCCGAGGGGCGTGGGAAGCGCCCACTGGGGTGGCCCCTCTCGAGGCTGGGTGTTCAGCTAGAGAGGAGTGGGCTCTGATGGTCCCCACAGAGCGTATCCTGCTGGGATCAGCCGGTGGCCTTTCCAGATTTCTCTGCTGGAGAAAGAAAGTCAAGTGTTTTCCTCAGGTCCCCGGCCCACAGCCCAGTTTGCTGCCCTCAAGCAGCGCCACCATGCTTCATGTGTGGGCACTCTGGCTATGGAGAGGCCCTCCACTGGTACAGGCAGTGACTCCTCTGTAACTTAGTGTTTCAGAGAGCCTTAAGAAGCCTTCGTTCCAGATGTCTGTTTATCTTAACAGTTTTTGAATATTGAAATGTTTGGCCTCAGGTGTTTCTAAGCAGATTGAGTGTTTCATTGAATTTTTGGTCAGAAAGAGACTTGAAGAACATCTAGTCAGAACCCCCTTGTTCTGGGCACTGAGGCCCAAGGAGTCTGACTTGTCCAAGGTCACACAGCCAGTGTACAGGGCTTAGAACCCAGGTCTTGGTGATGGTGGTGGTGGTGGAAGTGTCTGTTTCTGATGCTGCTTGGCTTGTTATCAGTGCTGCTGATACAACAGCCCCTAAAAACCAGGGGCGTTCTTTCAGAAGTCGTGAAGAAAGCTTTTGTCTAATTTGGAAATGTTACCTCTCCTCTGTTAAAGTCAGTTGTGAAGTTGTCATGATGAGGGGTTCATTACAGTATCACTGTATGTAACTGGGATGTTAATTGGTCTTTTCAAGATAGAATCCTCTTAGCCCATCAGACGGATTAGCAATTATGTTAATCTTCTTACACAGTCTTGGAAAGGATGGATTCCAAGTATCTCATGCAGCCCCATGAGATCCAGTGTGGAGATCTTGGGCCGTGAACCCCTCACCTGCCCAGCTTCCCGATCTGCAGCCCCCACCTCCTCCATACCTTTGCCCGCCAGTTTTTGGTGAAATGTGGGAAGCTGCTGAGAAATTATGTCAGCCTGAGGATTTGTCTGGTGGTCTTCCCTAAGGTTTTCAGTGGCATGACCCCTGAGCGGCCTGCAAGCGAGAATCAGTAAGTAGACATTGGTTGAGCACCTATTATGTGTCAGGCACTGTGCTAAGCACTGCTCACGTTCTAATGGCTTTAGGTTCAGAGGACTTGGGTTTCTATCCAGTCTCCCTATGTGTGACCCGAGGATCTCGATTTCCTCACTAGGGGAAACAAAAGTAGGAGGTGAAAAGTGAGCTCTAAATGTACGACCCCGGGGATGACCCTGGAGGACGAGCTTTGTTCCTGATGTCCGTCATCTGCAGAGGCTCACCCTTCCCCTCCACGGGTGACTATGGTCATTGGGTTCATCCACTGCTGTGTATGCTGGAGCAGTGCTCCCGCCTGTCCCAGTACCCACTTCTTTGAGGATTTCATTACATTACATCCTTAATGGTAATCCTGGGTTTCTTAACTGGTGTTTACAAACATTTTGGCAACTCTATTTCAGTGTGATGGGTTTCCTTTGTAATCTCATATGTTTTATTTTATACATTTAAGGGGTCTGGATCAGGGCTGTCAAAGTCAGATAGAAACAAGGGCCTTTGAACCATATACAAGGATGCTGGGGTGGGGAGAGGGGGATTTGATTTAGAAAACCACATATTCACATTCTCTAATTTGGTTGCATTTTTGTCTATTTTGTTCAATGTTTCCCAATTACATTTTAATCTGGTTCAGACTCGTGTTCCAAACCTGTGGTCTAGACTGGCCACAGGGTCCATGACACAAACAAGGTTCATAACTGCTGACCTGGATAAATCAAATCTTGTTGGTGGAGGACCCACGTATTTCTGGCAGGCTTTCCACATAGTCTAAGTCAAAATTTTCAGGTTGAAGCATTCATCTTGAGGTGAATAATTGTTAAAGCTAAAGAGACCTTGAAATGAGGGTCTGGGCCCTTTGTTTTACAAATGAGGACTCTGGGGATTAAATGACTTGGTTTGGTGACTGTGGGTCCTTCCAATGCACTGCTGCTGCCTGAAATGAATCTCAGACTGATCTAATTCAGCCAGCATACCTGGCCCCTGGGCTCACCTTGGCTTGAGGGAATAGAGGATTTCCCCATCCCACTTTGGGCCAGTTGTGATTGTTGGGGAACAGTTTTCCCAGTCTGGCCCAAAGCTGCCTCTTGATGGCATTCACCCATCCCCCTCCCTCCTGGCATGAAGCAGGACAGGTCTGATCCCTCTTCCAAGGACAGGAAGGCCTTCAGCCTGGAGCCCAGTTCTCATACCACCATGCCAAACATCCCCACTTCCTTCATCTGTTCCCTGATGGTTCAAGTGTTCAGTTTCCTCACCTGACAGGTCACCCTCCTTTGAATGCCATTGCAGTAACCATTATCCATCCCCTGCCTCCAGTCTCTCCCCACTCCAATCTAGCCTCCATTCAGCCACCAAAGTGATTTTCCCAAAATGCAGGTCCGATCATATCACCCACCCACCCCACCCCTACTCACTGAACTCCAGTGGCTCCCTATCCCTATCCAGGAGCAAATAGAAAATGTTCTGTTTGGCATTCAGAGCCCTTCATGACCTGCCCTCTCTCACCTTTCCATTATCCATCTTATTGGTCCACTGACCCTGACCTCCTAGCTGATCAGAACAAAACCCTCCAGCTCTCAGCATTTTTTCTGGCTCTCCCCCAGTCCCAGAACACTTTTCCTCCTCTGCTCTGACTGCTGACCTCCCTGCCTTCCTTTAAGTCCCAGCTGAAACCCCACCTTCTCCAGGAAGCCTTCCCCAATCCCTCTGAATTCCAGGGCCTGCCCTCTGTTGATGATTTCCTGTTTTTCCTGTATAGAGCTTGCTTTATTACTTACATCTTGTCTCACCTAGTAGATTATGAACTCGTTGAAGGCAGGGACGATCTTTTACCTCTTTTTGTATCCCTAGCATTTAGCACAGTGCCTGGCACAGAGTAAGTGCATAATAAATGTTTATTGAATTGAATTGATTCAGTCTAAACTATAGTTCTCACCCTTTGTAGTGTCATGACACCCTTTGACAGACTGATTAAGCCTATGGACCCCTTCCCAGAATAATATTTTTAAATTCATAAAAGAGAAAACATAGGATTACAGAGGAAACCAGTCATACTGAATTCAGCTGTCAAAGTGTGTGTGTATACATCCACATCCGTAGACCCCAGGTTAAGCCTCCCTCGCCTGAATCACGGCCATGGTTATGAACAGCCCTAAAGCCAAACCTAAGTCTCTACTGCGGATCTCCCTTCCAGCCTGACACAATCAGTAAGCCTGAGTCTGACCATTTCAGACAGCTGTTTTATGTGTTTCTATAATAACCTACGCAGGCATGAATTTACGTATTTCTTGTCTGATCCCCTAGTGCTGGCTGTGCCAGGGCTCAGGTATGCTACTACTGGTGCCTTTCTTCTCCTTGGGCAAGACTCAAGAAACTGGGGCCGTTTGACCATCTCTGAAGAGAGGCCGAAGGAAGGGCTAGCAGCATTCGTTTGTTCTCATGCCACCTTCTCCTCAAGACCTTGACCTCATGACTATTCTAAAATGTAACTTTCTTTCTCTTCCTAGCTTTGTATCCAGGTCCCATAATGCCACAGAACAATGAAAGGCCAGCGAAGAGCTCTGCTTGGCAAAAGAGGCCCCTTGCCAGCCTTCTCAGAGAAGTGGGCGGCTGGGTTTGAGGGCCTTAAGAAGTTCTGCCTTTTACATGCCAAGCAGGAGACCCGGAGCACCTGGCACAGGTTATATCGGTCCCTTCAGCGTCGGAGGAAGGCACTGCGGCTCCAGAGGAAGCGGGGCCAGAAAACGGTTCTGGCTGCTAAGGCCCGTGCCGCTCCGGCTGCTCCACATAGCCACTCTGCCCCTGGCACCGTGAAAAGAAAGGGCACCGTGAGCCCCCACATCCGGGGGCCCCTCGTTGGAAGCCTGCCGGCATCCGTTGAGAACTCCGCCCAGGAATGCCAGCCAGAGGAGGAGCTCCAGAAGGCAGCAGCTGGCTTGCCAGTAGGCAGTGTGTTGGGTCAGGCCAATGGGTGTAGGCAGAGGACTGACCACCAGGATCCTGGCAGGCTTAGGACAGCCAGTGGGGAGGGCCAGGTGGAGAGCAGCCCCACCTTAGTCACCTTGAGGAACCATAAGGGAAATGGTTGTTACTGTAGCTGCTACCAAGGGCTGGACCCAAACAGAATGGAGCCAGAGCAGCCATCCCTGATTCCGGGAAGGCCCCAGTTCAGCCACCGCAGGGGGAAAAGGATATCACTGCTTCGGGTGTATAAGAAACTGTCCATGATTAGGTTTCGGTACCGGATCCTGAGATCCCCACAGTTTAAATCAAGGAGCAGAGCGTGTAAGCTTCGGAAAGGCCAGCAGCGGAGCTGGATGCAGAAGGTCGCCAGGGACTGTCGGGACAAGCGCCAGAAAGGCTGCGAGGGGGGTACTTGTAGCTCATTCCCTCACTCAGGACCCACCAGCCCCTCTCACCTCCCTCAGCCTCCCTTCCCAGATATGGACTGCAGTGCCCCAGGGCCCACCGCAAAGGGAAAGAACTCACGTACACCCAGTGGCCCAGCCAGAGGAAGCCCTGGGTCAGGCCCAGAGCCTTGTGGGGGGGAGACCCTCCCCAGCCAGCAGAATGGCAACGTTGCCCACTTCACTGGACTGACCGGTGAGATCCTCTCACTGGGGCCACACTCCAGGGACCTTTTCATATCAGAAACTGAACCAGAAACCATAACAGTGGGGCAGAATGATCAGGCAAAGGACGTCGGGGATGACAAGATAAAGCTGCCTCTGCCTGCCCAGCCTGAGAAGACACCAAGTGGTAACGAGCTCCCCGGGGAAGAGCCTGCGTCCACAAAGACTGTGCAGGACGTGGGGAATCCGTGCCACATGGAGGCGGAGGCTCCCCGCCCCCGGAACATCTTCAGTGCCAAGTTACTGGACCACCCGTACTGTAAAAACCCCCTGGAGGCCCCCTCACAACAAACCAGACTCAAAGGGGGCCGGCAAGTGGGAGGTGGAAAGAGTGGTCAGAAAGCATCGCCTGTGAAGGACGAAGAGCTGTCCTCCTGCCTCTGTGGTATGTGCGCTGCCCGTCCGCCCGTCCACCCCCACACCAAGGACGTAGGGCCTTTAGGGTCCAGTGGGTTCTTAAGGTATTTCCCCACGGTGCCCCCATTTCCTCTCCCTTCCAATAGCTTCTTGGAAGAGAGACGCCGGAGGTTTCTCCTCTGAGCCCAGCACACCGAACCCCAGGTGTTCTGGGTGGCCGGGAGTGTGACCGAGGGGGGCAAGCCGGGTAGTTTCCTATCAGGGGAGGTAGGTGGCCCCCAGGTGCTCGTCTGCGTAGTGAGGACCGGGGGGCCTTGCGTAGCTTTGTAAGGTTACCGTAGGATGTTAGGACTTGAACATCCTAGGTTATTTCCCTGTGCCTAGCAGGCCTTGTTCTTTCAGTCACCTAATCTAGGAGCATTAGAAGGCAGAGCTGGGATTAGTGGCGTAGCCGGGGGGGGTAGGTTAGTGAGCATTTAGGGAGTGCTCGCAGCAGTGCAGTGTGGTAGATCCTGCAGGAATTACCCCCGTTTTACAAGTGCAGACAGGGGGCTCAAAAAGAGCAGCCGACCTGAGGGTGGGGAGCTCTGCCTCTACCCTCAGCGCTCGTTCCGGCCTCTTGGGGCCCACTAGGTGACCCAGATACCACGAAGAAGATACGTCTGTTGGCCCCGCTTACGTCCCCGGCTGCCAGAGAGGAGGAGAACCCCTCCCCCTTCACAGTGCTGCCCCAGGGGCAGCCACGAGCAGCCGCTGCCGATGCCATGTGAGGCGGAGGGTCTTTGCTGATTGGTGAGGCGGCCTGCCCCCTCGTTGGGGAGATGGCGTGCCTGATGTCAAGAGAAAGAGCGAGGGGCTGAGTTTCTTTAAGAGGTCGCTGTCTCTGTGGATTTGGTCGGTGTTGCTGGGCCCCTCCCTCATGCTGGCCCACTCAGTTGTTGGCTGAGGACCTTGGGGGCTGCCTGTGTCCTTGCATGGTAGAGCAGGCAGAGGGCAGAGGTTCTCCTAGTCCGGGAGGCTTCCACTTCAGAGGCCTTTAGCACAGGGTAATCCTTTGGGTAGCTGCTCTTCAGATTTTTATGTCCCGGTCACAGAACCTCAATAAAATTCATAATTTGGGAGAGAAAGGGACTGTCTTTTCCCGAATGGGCACGCCATGCTTATGATTAGAAAATGAAATTCAGTGGGCTGGACTTTTGGCTTGTTTTTGTCTTTTTAACATTAGCTCAGATGTCTGAGCTAATGTAACATAAACATAACATGAAGCATAACATGAAAAATAGAGCAGAGGGTTTAGGGCATTGGGATCACACGCCCGAGCTGGAAGGGAGTGCAGACGCCTCTGGTCTCGAGGAGAAGGAAGCTGAAGGCCAGTTCAGAGCCCGTGGGAGGCCTGGCGGGGTGGCGGACCTTTGCAGATATGGAGCCCGTTGCCTGCCCCTGCCCCGGCCTCTCGGAGGAGGTGGCGTGCCACATCTGCCTTCTGGGGCACAGTCCTCCGCTGGCTGGCAGCTTTGTCTTCTGCCCTTCACGGGCACAGCGTGGCGTGCAGTTCCTTTGTGCTTGACTTTGGTTGAGGTTTTTCTTTGACAGTCGTTCAGATGACACAGCTTGCGGATTACTTGAAATCGTTTTAGACTCTGGTACGGGAATCCTCTCTATTGTGAAAACTGTGGCAGGGTTGGGTGCCGAACCTGGGGAATGAACCTTCCTCTCCCACCCAGCTAAAAGAGCCAAAGCTGGTGGTGCAGCCTTGAGGGGAGTCCCCACAAATGGGGTTCTGCTGCTGTCTTGTCTTTTCTAGCTTTCTGTGTGAGTGAGAGAGCACCTTTCACTCTTAAAGACCTTTCCAGAGGTCAGAGAACATTGGTGCAGGTGACGTGTCACATTCACATTCTTTGGTCAACTTTGATGAGTGTGTCACCTTCTTTTGGCTTTACAAGCCTTTCTTATGTGTCTTTAGGATTCCTGGATGAGGTGATGAAGAAGTATGGCAGCTTGGTCCCCCTCTGTGAAAAAGATGTTCTCGGAAGGCTGAAAGAGGTCTTTAATGAAGACTTTTCCAATAGGTTTGTAGAGAGGGATCGGTTGGGATCCCTGGAAATCAAGGGTGCTGCTTGTGTGCCCGAGCCAGGGTTCCAGAATACTCTCTCTCCAGCATGGAGCAGCAGAGGGAACAATAGCTCCCCTCACTCACTCTTTCCTCCTGAATCCACCTCTGTTTCAGAAAGCCATTTATCAATCGGGAAATCACTAACTACCGGGCCAGGCATCCCAAATCTTCCAGTTGCAACTTCCGGGTGTTCTACAACAGGCACATGCTGGACATGGATGACCTGGCGACGCTGGACGGTCAGAACTGGCTGAATGACCAGGTGAGAGAAGATGACGTTTTCAGGGTGGAGCCAGCTGTCGGGCTGAGAATGAGGGAGCTCTGAGACGGAGGGGCCGGGGGAGGGGACGTCTGAGCAGGTTACCTGCCCCGTCTTTGCCACAGGCCCAGGCAAGTCAGTCCATAACCATTCATTAGGCACGTGCTGTATGCAGGCACTGTGGACCGCACATTATTCCGGTCTGTTCTATAGTTCAGAAGCCCCCTTTAATGGGCCGTCCCAGGTGGCTTCTCCGGGCCTGGCTCTGATGTCGCTGGTGCTGGGACCTTGGAACAATGGCTTCATCTCTCAGAACCTCTGTTTCCTCCTCTGTAAAATGGGGATAGAACTCATGTGGTGGTTGTGAGGAGGGGCCTTTGTTACAGGCCCTCTCTCTCAGAGTTGTTAGTGCTACTGTGCGCTCTTCTGGTCTAAGTTATTCATCAGAAAGGGCAATCAGTTGTAAGTCCCTCAGCTCAACAGGAGTTTAAAATTTGGTTTTTTTTTTTCAGGTAATCAATATGTATGGTGAGCTGATAATGGACGCTGTTCCAGACAAGGTAAGTGAAGCCCCTTAGTAGAGGAGGGCCCCTGTCCTGTGCATCTTTGTGGGGGGCTGTCCAAAGGTGGAGATGAATGGGACAGAGGGATCCCTGCAGGTCAGAAAGCGGACACACAGCAGGTTCAGCTAGTCTGGGTATGGTGTAGACCACCCCACCGGAGCCTAGAGGAAGGAAGGAGTAGTGGGGCCACGCAGCAGGGAGCCCAGGCCTGGCGGAGCAGGCGTCAGCCCCGTGGGGCTACGGTATGCAAGGGGCAGGAGGGGGAGTCCACTGGGGAAGGCCTGGACGTCGTCAGCTTGTGCTTCCAAGGTTTAGTAGTGGAATGTCACTCGGAGAAGGTGTCACCTTGGTGACTGGAACAGCTGACATTTGATAGTGCTTTTCTTTTCTTTGTTTTAATTTTTTATTAATTTATTTTGATTTATTACTAATCACTTCCATATGCTTTTGAGTTTAAAATTTTTCTCCCCCTTCCTTCTCACCACCCTCCCCAAGATTAAACCTATTTTCACATTAATGATGTTGTAAGTAAAAATTAGAACCAATAGGAGGAACCACCAGAAAGAGAAAACAAAACTCAACAGAAGAGAAAAAAATTAGCAATTCAAATTCCCTAGTTCTTTCTTTGGATGTGGATAGCATTTTCTATCACGAGGCCTTTGGAGATGTCTTAGATCTTTGTATTGCTGGGAAGGGTTAAGTTTATCAACATTAGTCGTCGCACAACACGGCTGTTAAACTGTGTACGACGTTCTCCTGGTTCTGCTCACTTCACTCAGCATCAGACCATACAAGTCTTTCCAGGTTTTTCTGAAGTCAGCCTGCTCATTATTTCTTATAGCACAATAGTATTCCATCACATTCATATACCACAACTTGCTCAGCCTTTCCCCAATTGATGGGCATTCTCTCAATTTCCGATTCTTTGCCAGCACAAAAAGAGCTGCTATGAATATTTTTGTACATGTGGGTCCTTTTCCTATTTGTGCGATCTCTTTGGGATACAGCCCTAGAAGTGCTATTGCTGGGTCAAAGGGTACGCACAGTTTTATAGCCCCCTGGGCATAGTTCCAAATTGCTCTCCAGGATGGTTGGATCATTTCACAACTCCACGAACAATGCAATGCATCAGTGTTCCGATTTTCCCACATCCTCTCCCCCATTTTTGATAGTGCTTTTCCAGACATGGTCTCCTCTGTATAAGTGTGAACAAAGGATGGATTGGGGTGGGGAAGCGCGAGAGCGGAGGAAGCCCCTTCCCACCCGGCTCCAGTGACAGTCCAGCAGCAAGCAGCCATGTTGAGGCAGTGCCCCACAGCCTTGCACGGACGCAGTAGAGGGAGGACCTAAAGACCAGTGGGGGCTCATGTTGCCGACACCCGACGGGGCAGGCAGAAGAGGCTTGGAGAGGGGAGCTGGTGAATCCAGGGGCGATGTCCAGCAGCTGTTTGGAGCTGGGGAGCGGCTGGGGTTGTCTGTACGGGCGTGGGGGTCTCTGGCAGAGAGCTGAGAAATGACCAAGAGAGGAAGACCAGGGCAGCATGGTGCCGTGGATAGGTGCCAGGGAGTCCAGATCTGGCCTCAAGACGCTCGCTGGCCATGTGACCCTGCACAGGTCACTTCACCCTATCTGCCTCCATTTCCTCATCCATAAAATGGGCTGGAGAAGGAAATGGCAAACCCCTCCGGTATCTGCCAAGAAGACCCCCAGTGGGGTCACAGAGTCAGACACAACTGAAACACAACAAGTCACATCTGGAGGGGGAGGAGGGCATGCTATTGCCTGGTGTGTGAGGGCTGGATGGAAGTCCTCCTGGAGCACCGGAGGTCCCTGGACACGCCGGCTCATCCTTCCTGTCCTGAGCAGCCTCCTGAGAGCTCGGGCAGCAGGCGTTCCCCCTCTAATGTGGCTGCTTGCCTCTGGTCTTTTCTAGGTTCACTTCTTCAACAGCTTTTTCCATAGACAGCTGGTAACCAAAGGATACAATGGAGTAAAAAGATGGACCAAAAAGGTAGGATGTCCCACGTGTCTCGGGGCAGCAGCTCGGTCTGAAACGGCCGCTCGCCTCTTCTCCTTGGAGGGCTGAATCAGTGCAGAGATGCCGTGCCCAGTAACAGCCTGCAGGCCAGCGGACCGGTGCGCCGCCAGCTCCCTGGAGAGATCAGGCTGTGCGTTTTCCTGGAGGTTTTATCGACGGACTTGTTAGAGTAGTTCAGACCCCAGCCTGAAGACATTCTGTGAATTGGGGCATTGGGACTCGCACATCGTTTGCAGGGTGGGTTGGAGCAGGTGGAAGAAATACTGAGGGTCCATGGTGGGAATTGGACCTTATGGTCAAACCATGTGATTAAGCCTGGATTAAGCACCTGCTGTGTGCCAGGCTCTGGGCTAAGGACTGGGCATACAGAGAAAAGCAAAAGACACTTTCAGTTTCCAGGGAGAGAGACAGCAGGCAAACAGCCGTACAAATAAGACCTGTGCAGGCGGTACTGGTGAGATCCCACAGGGAAGACACCAGCACTGAGGGGGATTGGGAAAGGCCCCAGACCTGGGGCCCAGCTGGAGAAAATGCCCCGGGCTGAGAGAGGGAGCAGCAAAGAAGCCAGGGTCACGTGATCTGGGCTGGATCAGTAGGCCTGAGAACTGCATAGAGATGATAATTGAAAGCTTGGGAGTTGATGAGATCACCAAACAAAATAGGATAGAGGGAGAAGAGAAGAGGACCCAGGATAGCGCCCAGAGGGGCATGCACTGTTACCGGGCACTGCCTGGATGCAGGAGACTGAGGAGCGGTCAGATTGGGGGGGGGGGGGCCGACGACCAGGAGAGAGCTCTGAGGTGACTCAGTCAGTGAATCGTGGCTGGAGGTCGTGTTATGCAGGACCTGACGATATCCTTTCCATGTAGTCTGTCCTGTTAACAAGTCTGGCCAAAAAAGAGGTTAATGGAAGGAAAGAAGGGTTAGAGTAGAACGTTTCTCAGTTAAGCTTGCCTCCTGCCCCAGCAAAACATCCTTCGGCCGCATAAGGAGCAGCGGCCTCGGGCATCTTCCCAGTGGCCAATGGGCTTGTGGACCTGGGGTTTCATCCCTGTGGGCCCTCTTTGCACAGGCAGACAGATCACGCTGTGTTACTGCTCGAGGGAGATGGGTGGTCTTCCTGAGTTGTGTCTCCAGACTCCTCTTCCAGCTGCCAGCCCTTTTGGGGGATGAGGTTCTGTGGATCCAGCTTAGCTGGTCATCCCCTGAGTCCATCCTTAGAGTCCAGTACAACCTGTGCTTTACTGGCCCCTTCCTGCTCTGCCTGAGGAGGGTGTTGGTGGGTTGTGAGGTCACAAGTCAGAGGTCAGCCCCTGGAACGACCCAGCCTCTGTGCAGACGGGTGCTTTAGATGCGCATGTGTATGGGGCAGGGGGCAGGGTATCTGTGTAGATACACACATGTTGGGGGGGGGTCTTCAGGGGAGTTGGCGGTAACAGTTGTAGTTACTCTGACTCTATCCTGTGGCAGTAAGTTTTTTTCTCTTTCCTGGTCAGGTGGATTTGTTCAAAAAGAGCCTTCTCTTGATTCCCATTCACCTGGAGGTCCATTGGTCTCTCATTACTGTGACCCTCTCAAATCGAATTATTTCCTTTTATGACTCCCAAGGCATTCATTTTAAGTTTTGTGTAGAGGTAAGTGAAGGCATGCTTCCTGAAGACTGTCTGTTTTGTGGTCAGCTGAGAGCCTCCAGTGGGTGAGGCCATGGCTGTGTGGTCAGCTCCTCATCACGGAGCCTCCAGATAGTTGAGGGGCACTGGCATCTCGTTTATCCATAAGCTCCTCTGCCCTGAGCCCCCTGGGCACTTTCAGCCAAAGGTAGTTCCATTGATAAGATTTTTAGACCATATTAGCAAAAATGAGCCTTTGGGATCTCGTGAACGGCGGCATCGTCAGCTGCCGGTGGCCCAGCCACGGCTTTGTGGCTTTCTCCATTTTCCCCATTTCTTCAGCCACTCTGTTGAGGAGTCCTTTGGAGGCAGTTAGCGTAGGAAGTTCCAAACCTAGAGCGTCCAACAAGCGTGACAGCCCGTGTTCGGCATCTGCCCTGAGAAGCTAAGCTGTGAGGGCAGTGGGAGGTGGCTTCCTTTATTAAAGACGTCGTTGACCGAGGGGATGGTGGCCAAGGCTTCGCCCACCTCGTGAGCCTCATAGGCTGTGACACAGTCAGGGCCGTCCCGGGGCAGAGCGAGGCAGACAGGAGAGCTGGTGCCCCTCTGCACTTGGATGTCGGGGCTTCTGTGGGATATTTATATCTGAACGTGGCCGCTTCAGACAGGCCGCTGGTCCCCCCCGGCCATGACTTAAGGAACGCCAGGCTGCCTGACCCCTGTCCCGTCCCCACATTCTGTGATTCGGCCCGAGATCCCTCCCACCAGTCAGTGTCGGTTCTTGACCCCTGGGGTGAGGAGAGGCCTTTAGGAAGCTCACCTGTTGTGTCTTCAGCAGGGAGGTCAGGGATTCCCAGGAGCCAGCTTCAGGAGGATTTTCTGAGAGCATATTTTTGTCTTTCGGATTTGCTGTATTTCTTCTGTCACTCCCTTCGCTCCATTAGAAGGGATGACAATTTTTGAGCTGTTTTAGTGCCCCATTCCAGTCTCTCAATCACCTGGAAGCTTCCTTAGTTCCATGGCTCACTCGCTTCAGATGTCGGGAGGTAATCTGGAAAAGAAACAACTCCCTAGGAGGTCAGCTCCTCAAGGCAGGCAGGCATCATTCCTGGGGGTGGGACCCTCACAAGTGCCTTGCTCCAAAGCCCCAGCAAATGCTTCCCGATTGAGTGGGATTGAGTGTTGTGGCCAGGGGAGAGTCCCATTCTTCTCAGACCCACCTGCAAACGTGGGTGTCTCGGTTTCTTTTTCATCAGAATATAAGAAAGTATTTGCTGACTGAAGCAAGAGAAAAAAATCGACCCGAGTTTCTGCAGGGTTGGCAGACGGCTGTTACAAAGGTGAGTGGGGGCGCATTCAGCCACAGGGAGAGTGCCGTGGGCCGTGAAAGATAGAGAAGCCGGGGCGCAAGGACCCTCGGGGCTCTCTACCACCCTTCCCTTGCCCGCTGGGCCCACCCATTGCCCAAAGCAAGGCCCTTGGACTCAGAGCATGGTCCTTCTCATGGTAGGCTCTCTCTGCCCTCTCTCCCACCTCACGGCTCCCTCGAGCTAAGGATCCCCATCGTCCCCAAGGCTCTGGCTTGGGAGCCCCTCTTGGAGAGGCGAGTGTGTGAAGGATGGAAGAACAAGAAGGCCTGATGGTCAATGACTGCCCCACCTCAGGCCCTTCAGGTTGCTTCTCTCCTAAATTAGCCAGGTTGGAGTCTCTCTCCCACAGACGGCTGTTGTTAAAGTGGAAGGGGAGAGACTTGGAGCGTGGAGCAGGAGCCAGATGAGCAGAAAAATCCCCCCACGCTGAACCCCCTTGTTAATATTAGAATCGTCAGAGTGACCTGAAGGAGTTTGGGGTGCAGTGCCTTGAGGAGAGGGGGAAATAATAGCTCAAGGCCCAAGCCGCTCTCCAGCGAGTGGGTCAGGATCTTGTCTGTGCCCCTCTCTTCCAGAGGAATCAGACCCCAGTTCTGCCTGAGTCAGGGAGGCACCTTTGGACCTTGGCTGGGAATAGGGGGAAAGAAGGGATTAGACCATATTGCACCTCCAAGGCTCCCCAGCCATTAGCCAGCTAATTCCAGACCCTGGCACAGATGAACCAATGTGGGAAACACAGCTTAGCCTTCCTAGGGAAGGCAAAGTAGGATTTCTTTATTTTCAGTTTTTATTGTTAGTTCCTTACAGTTTATAGTTACACACACACACACACACGTATATAGATATATATAGTTAGTTATAGTTAGCAAAAAGAAGCTGCTAGTTTAAAAAAAAAGCGTGTGTGCGGTGGGGCTGTTTCTGCCAGTTTTGACTCAAATCTACAGGCGTTGGGAGACGTAAGAGGCACTGGCCTCGTCCCACTTCCCTGTGGCTGAGTGGGGAAGGTGAGCCCTCGAGTGTAGGATTCGAAGCAGCTCCTGGGGGAGTTAGAAGGGTCGGGGGTCTACGGCTTGGCACAGGAGAGAGGGGCCTTCCCAGTGGGGATTCCAGCACTCCCCGTAGGTTGCACGACAGGTGGGCTCATCACTTGGGTCCTTGTCTTTCTTTTTTATTTGCTAAGCAGAGTCTGTGGAAGGTCAGGGGCCTCAGAACAGGGGCTTTGCTTGAGAACGACTTTCACGTTGCAGCTCAGGATGCAGACGGCAGCTGTGAAGTGCCACAGAGGTTAATCTTCAGAGGGCTTCAGTTCTTACTCAGTCAGGTGTCCGTTGCTGAGGGTCGGTGAGCAGTGTGCTCGGTGGCCCCCACTTGAACTGAGAGAGAGCTAGGGTGTTCCAGGGAGGGGGCCCCCAAAAGAGCAGCCAGCTGTTGTCCTCCTGGGGATCTCGGGAGCCCTGGAGGCCGGTTCTGCTTAAATCACACTCGTCTTTTTTCTCACTTGTCAGTGCATTCCACAACAGAAAAACGACAGTGACTGTGGAGTCTTTGTGCTCCAGGTAAGCAGGTCTGTCCTTCAAGAACTGAGCCAAGGGGGCAGCTAGGTGGCGCTGTGGATAGAGCACCGGCCCTGAAGTCAGGAGGACCTGAGTTCAGATCCGGCCTCAGACTAAACACTTGCCGCGTACTAGCTGTGTGACCTTGGGCAAGTCGCTTAACCCCGATTGCCTCACTTAAAAAAAAAAAAAAGAAGAAGTGAGCCAAGGCCCTCGGGGGCTCCCTAGTGGGAGATGCCTTTCCAGGTGTGGGTGTTCGGTGCTTTGTTTGGGATTTTTTTGTTACTTAATTTCCGAAGAACGGGCTAGAATTGTTCCATTTCCAGTTTTCACCTTTAGCCATAAACAGGGATAAAAAAGCATGCTTGCTCTTTTCTTGCCAGACATCATTGGTTACAAGTCAGCCACACTTCTCAGCCTTTGGGCAGCACTGAAGGGGTGAATGTCCCCCCCGCTCGGCCTTGTGCTCAGGGGCCACGAGGAATCATCTCTGGCCCCTGGCGCCAGGATGCGGACAGGCAGCTGTGCAGTTGGCATGAAGTCAGCCTTGTTTCGGGGGAAGCTGTAGACAGAGCTCTGTCCAAACCCCTTGCCGAGCAGAGGTACCACTGGGGCTTACTCAGGGAGGGCGGTGAATTCACTCAGTGTTTGTGGGACTGACTTTTTCAGTACTGCAAGTGCCTGGCCTTTGAGCGGCCCTTCCAGTTCTCCCAAGAAGACATGCCGCGCGTTCGGAGAAGGATTTACAAGGAGCTGTGCGAGCGCCGGCTCTTGGACTGACTCAGAGCAGCCGCCGTGGCCGGCCAGGCCCCGCTGACAAAGGCGCCGTGTTACCCGGACCTCTGACCACTTTCGCATATTCCCAGATGTCTCAGACCGGTGGCGTCCCACCACTCGGCTTACCTCAGCTTGGTTTTTCTCCCCTGACTTGTTTCTTCAGCTACCGTGTCATATTTCTTAATGTCCAGTTTTGTTCCTTTCTGATTTGTGGATTTCTTTCTTGTATTTAATATTTATTATATGCACGCATGCACATAGACCAGGCATGCAGTACAGAATATTAAAAACAAAAACAAACAAACTCGTAGACTGGGTGCACCTTTTAAACGTAGCTAGAATGAAATGAGTCCAGATTTAATAGGTAGGCTCAGAACCTAAAGATGCAGGATCTGTCTTCCAATTCCGTGCAGTTGAGACCATGCAGCTTTCCCGGGGTCCTACAGGAGACCAGACAGGACCGTTTCTGACACGTCCTGAGCAAAGCCCCTGGTGTTACCAGCACCCTTCTTCTTCCCTCGTCTTGTCTGAGGCTTTGAGGTCCCTCCCCTGGGAAGGTTGGGATGGAAACCCCAGGAAGGAGCTGGGAGTAAGCCCACCCACGAGGCTTCCTTGACGCAGCTGAGACCTTGTGTTAAACCGAGCCAAACCCTGGGCTCTTTTGTTTCTTACTGAGAGTTTGTTACTTACTGCATGACTGTTACTGTATGTGCCCTCGTCCTGTGTAGCAAAAATGAGGCTTCAGACACTGGAATGCCGAGACGATGGGATGGACGTGATGCTGCCCTGGCAGCGGGCATCGTTGCTAGCCAGTGCCCGAGGGCACACTTGGGGTGGGGGGCAGTATTTTGAAGGTGAGAGGTGTTTAAATCAAGAAAAACTGTGTTCAGAGACGCCTTTTGTGCTTAAATAGCTGAGACTTCTGTTGGGCAGGAGGTGCCTGTGGCAACTGAACTAATTCCCTGGGCACTTTTTTCTCTGTCCCTTTTTGGCATCACATTTTAACATTTGAAAAGCAGACCTGTGTGTGATAAGCCCAGTCAGGTGGGGATTCTCTGCCAGCTGGTCCTCTCTGAGTCGCCCTCTGCCTTACGTTCGCTGCCTGGTGTGTCTCCGTAGAGATGGAAACAGTGAATGAAGATCATTGTATATCTTTGCACTTCAGAAGTGACGTGATACTTGTTTATGCTTGAACATAAATTCATTCCTGGTTTGTTGTTGGGTTTTGTTTTTGTTTTTTTTTGTTTGTTTGTTTGTTTTTAAGAAAGGATCTCCTGGTACGTGTCTAGTAATTGAACTGCAGGATTTTTGCTTTTCATATTACGACACTACGATGGACTGGAGAGGACCTGGCCTGAGGGGGAAGGGGTGTGGAGTACTTAATTTGGGTTTTCCTTTTTGTTTTTTTGGCCCTGTTCAGAGAGGCCAAGGCGGACCGGTCCTCTTCAGCAGGCAGCTCCATTTCTGGGCTCTCTTATTCATTCCCCCCTGTCCTGTTAGGTAACCCTTTCCCTGGTCTAACTCCCCCCACCTCAGCATTCTTGGGGGTGTCAAGTACGAGAAATGAACCCAGCTTTGGATGTGGAGAAAAGCAGATCTTGCATATTTAATCTGGCTCTTTGTAACATGTGTCTTTACATGAAAAGGGAAAATAATTAGATGCATGTTGAACCTATTGAGTTGTCTGTTTTGAAAGGTTAAAACAAATCCAGTGTGTGTATATAGATACCCAGAAGCTTGTGTAGAAAAGTGCTAAGTAAATTCCAGATTATACTTGAATTCATGCCCCAGGTGTATATCAGGTGTTGAAAATGAACAAAATAATGCAGTTTAACGTCCCCACAAGGTGCACCTGAAGGGGGCTGCTGGCCACGGAAGAGGGTGGGGGGAAGCTTATACCCAGGGCTGCCATGGACCAGGGGCACTTGTCCCTAGCACTGTCTCCCCAGTGTTTTACACTGGAATCTGTCCCATCCCCAGTTGGGTCTTGTCCCAGGGAAGATCCCACGTCAGCAGAGCATGGGGCGTGGGCCCGGTAGAGATAGCCTCGTGGGTGCTGCCAGGCTGCAAGGAGGGTGATGGCAGCACCAAGGAAAGGAGATTTTATCAATCAGTGTAACAAATTGCGTTGAGTTAATCTTGGTTTGCCTTCCCAGCCTCCCCCGTATGTTTGCCCCCTACCCTCATATCTGTTTATAGTTTTTCAGGACTCACAACAGTTTCTGTGTGAGAGGTTTTGCTCTCGTACCCCAAGCCTCTTTGTTGGCTAAACCAAAGTATGACCATTGGATAGTCCAGAAGGCCTTTTTTACCCTCAAACCCAGAGCCCTCCAAAAGCCTCCCCCACAGTTCTAGCCTTGAGAAGGGCAGTACAGAGCCATTCTGGCATGATTAGAGCAGATGCCAGGCTGTTCTTGGCTGTTACATGGGAAATGCCCAACACGCTGTTCACAAGGTGTGCCCCATTGACAGTGGAATCTACCAGGACAGGTTACTGTTTCTTTTCCACTGACTAGCGCACGTGCCACCAAAGATTTCAGATTCTGGTGTTGAGGAGAGCAAGGACGTTTTGGCCGAGGGTCAGATACTCAAATGGCTGTTGAGGAGGGCTTTGTTTGCCTGGTTGTTCAGCCCTTGCCATCCCTTAGATTCTGCCGGTTTCCATGTGGGTGTATTGACTCACTAGGTCAGTGACCTAGATTAGAACAGTGTCCTTCATCCTCCTGATGTGTTAGCAATCCTTGTTCCCTGCCGGCAGGGATGCTCTGAAATAGACCCCCAGCTCTGAAGGGCAGGAGAGCTGTCGGATCACTGTGCACCCGGCCCCGAAATGCCTTCCGATGCTCTCTTGCCTGGGTCAATCCATGTTAGTGCGGGCTTTGTATTTCAGGAACAACAGTACTTAGTGCAAACTGAGAAAGCACATGGGCTCTGAGCAGCCAGGCTCAGACTTACCATGTGCTCCTCTGGCTGCCGCCATGATTTTTCCCCCGAGTTTGCCTTCTGATAAATCTATAGGGAAGACTATGAAACTCAACCAATACTAGTTCAGTGTTTTGCTCACGGAAACTCTGTACGATCCACTCTTATTTAACCCCGTGGAGAGGGTACATTGGTGAAAAGAATCCCCAAAACATTTCCTGTTGACTTTGTCGTGTTTCTTCTCCTTATTTTAAATAGGGGATTCTGGGGTCCTTGAATCACCACACCCATAGGGGGAGACCCGACTCGGGGGGGAGCCAGACATTTGGCTTGCTGTCCATTACTAGACTAGCGACAGCAGAAAGCTTGGCTGCCCTTTCAGAATGGGGTTTGGTCAGGCATTCCCTGGATTGGAGGAGAATGGTACCTGTCCTGCTGGACCGTTTGTATGGGGAGGGAACACAAAGGCAACTTGCCGTTCTGCTTACGGCTTCATTCTGGGAATCTCAAAGCTCGATGGGCGGTGGTACCCCAGGAGGAGAATAATTGTGAATTGACAGTGGATAAGGAAGAGGCAGAGAAGGCCCTCAGGGGAAGAAGCTGCTTCACAGAGACTAGAAAATTGGAAAGGTCCATTTGCAGGCACTTGGTCTTCAGAGAGATGAATTTTTACCCAGTGAATCAGACGAAACTACACATACTGTAGATAAAGGCTATGATGATGTAAAATTCCAATATCAAACATGTAGTAAAAAGTGAAATGTTGGGGGGGGGAAACTTGGTAAAATATTTTTGAGAAATAAACTAATGACTTTATAAATACGTGTCCTTTTGTGTTGAATAACACTGTGCAGGGAGAACTTTTCAGTGGCGCTTTAATAAAAGGGTCACTAATGAACAGTCAGTAAACATAAGTGGACACTGGCAGTTTTAGCAATATGAACTGATGGACAGAGTAATCTTGGGTTCTTGCAGTGACTTCCCAAAATCTGTTTGGGCAAAAACTAGCTGAAAACCAAACGCCTTTAATGGAATCAGATGTGGAACGTGCCAGAAGTCCCAGTAGAGACCACCCTGGATGTGTTAACAGCCCTGCCTCAGAGTTCTTGAGAAATGCAAAACCAGGGGAGTAGAGGCAGGTGACTGCTACTCAGGGTCATCCATGTGACCTTGGGCACATTTCATCACCTTTCTGAGCCTCACCTGTAAAATAAGAAGGCTTCTTGGTCTAAGTTTGTTTCGTGGTTTGGGAAAACATTAATTCAGTTCTGACAATATTAAGTGCCTACTATTTCCAAGGTACAGATGTCCTTATGGTGTAACACAAGGTAGGAAGGACTGGGAACAAAAGAGAAATACAGTGTTTTAAGAAAATGAGGGAGACAAGAGCCTGACACCATGAAGAAAATGTGGAGATGAGGAAGGTGACCCTCCTCCCAACCACAAATCGGGGCTTTTCCTGCTGCTCCAGTGTGCCAAGCCATGAACCCAGCGTAACAAGTGGTGAAGTACTAAGAGATGGCGGCCAAAGCTTCTCACGTCATAATTAGGGTGAGGAAGCTGGTTATGGACTTGGGGCTCTCACTTCAACCTTTCAACCCTTAGCTAATATTTCATTTATAAACCATTCAGAAGTTTTATTCAGGTTGTCACTCCCAAAGTCTGCAGACTAGTTGGTCAGAAGGAACTCCAAGTATGTTCCCATAGGAAGTTACGACGATTGTTATGTTCCCCAGCCAACTCCACCTGGCTGAACCACAGAACTTCCACATTTCTAACAAGGCGTCTAGAGGAAATGTCCCTACTTCCGGCAGCACCCTTCCCCAGCCCTTCCCCAAACCCCCATCTCCCATAGCTGAATAGGAAGACAGGCTCCCCTAGCTCTAAGTCTGCAGATGATTGGGGCTGGGAGTAGGGCTCTTATTGCTACATAGAGAATAAGGACCTTTCTCTCCTGATGCTCTGGTCAGCCCGTTTTTCTGCAGGCCCTGGGGCAGGCCTTCCTTTACTGCTGCCCCATCTGACCAGGATCCTAAGAGAAACTGATTCTCTGGGATCAGTATCTAGCCCAATCCACTTTCTCTCTACACTCTTATTCCTAAAATAAGTACAAAGCCCTTCTGAGGTTTCCTAAGGCATTAAAAAAACAAGAAACCGAAGGTTCTTCCCTGCTTTGCATATTTTGTGTGATGGCTCCACCCAATCCAGATGGTGGTCCTGTCATCTGTCTACAGAGGGAGGTGAGGACTGACAGGGCTGGACATCCCGGAGGTGGGCGAGTAGACTGGCCATCGCTGCAGCAGGCATTGCTGAGGGAGAAAGGCCACAAACATGCTGGAGACTGTGTGCGGAACATGCCCTTCCTCATTCTACTTGCACTGTTTCCTTCCCACCTGTTTGGAAGTAGAGGAACAGGAGCACTCAGACAATGAAGGACGGAGGGATGGTTACACCTTTATTGGAAGGGGACCTGGCCAGGTAACTCGTGAGAGAAAGCACATTCCCCTCTAAAATTCTTATTAAGAGCTAAATGAGATTCAACTTTCCTATTTATCACAGAATGAAATAAAATATACAACTAAAACCATCCGGTAAGAAAACCACAGGAAAACAAAAGGCCAAGCTTTCTGTGGGTGTGAGAAAAGCACCCTCTTCTCTAGCCAGCAAACCCAAAGCCCTGTTCACAGTTAAGACACAGATATGGCCAACCCCGATGATAACGTACACGTCAGGATCACCTGAAACAAGCCAATCTGTGTAAACGCTGCACCTGATCGCTTGGCCATAGTTGAACATGCAAAAGGAAGTTTGCCCAGAAGAGCTTTCCTCCCCAGAGTCCTAAGCCACAGACCACTGAAAAGATGGCAAGCTACTGGTTGACTTTAGGCCTTCTTGATTTTTCTTCTTTGATAAAAATCCTTTAAAGGAATTACAATGGGTTTCTGCAGTTAGGCTCCAATCTGTCCTCCCCAATAGATGCAGATGCGCCAACAGACTTAGCAGTAAAGGTACATCTCTCTGCCTAGCTGGAGTGAATACCCTCCTACTGTATCCCAGCTGAGTCATCTCAGGTACACAGTTCAACAAGAATTCAATTCTTTTATCAGCAGTGCAAAAGCTGATTGAACGACCCTATCATTTGGGTGTGGCCTCAAATCACAGACCAGGAAATCCGTTCTAAGTGAAGCTTATCCAGTCTTTCCCATTAGAAAGGTTTTGTTCCCTTGATTTTCAGGCTCTTCTCCATCCTGCCAGTTCCCTTCCCACTCTGGTAAAATAAACACAACAGGTCTAGCATCACTTGGCCCAATTTCCAAGTTAAAATGAACCTCTGGAATTCATCTGCTATCTCTTCCCTACAGTCTGCAGGAGGCATTTCCCACAGAAGATCCTGTTTCCTTCCACATCCTTTGGACCAGCTTCCCAGGGAAAGCTCAAGGATGGTGCTTAAGACTGTAAATACACATTTCTTTCTCCATCATCCATTCAGAGCACTAGAGCAGAGCCCTCTCTCTGGGTCTGTCGGATCGTTAATGCTGAGGCAGAACTGTTTTAGGAATGCCCTAATAACCTGTGTATCTTTATGAGCTAAAAGTCACCTTGGGAACAAGGGATATCTTCAAAAAGCTTAGAAATAAATCTCCTCATTTATAGGCTATTGCCACTAGAGCACAGATCATCACACTCATTTCATACAAATTTCATGAGGCTCTTTTCCCTAAATGACCACTCCCAGGTTGTGAACAGTAAGTCATATAATGAGACTTTTCTAATCTCGTGCTACAATGGCTTAAAATCTACGAACACGGCCACGCAGTTACTAACTGTTCCTTAGGACAAGCTGACCAGACCTCAAGGCTCCAACAGAGTCCCTTGCTTAGTTTCAGACATTTAATGATTTTCAGAGTGGAAAAGCCAGGTCGAGGTCTGGGGCTGAATTCCTGTGTGGACGCAGAGAAACCAAAGAGAGCCTGTTCTACATCAGCTGTTCCAGGACGTGAGCGTTGCTTTTCCAGGGATCCGTCAACCAGCCAACGTCGTCTGTTTGTACGTGAGGGGCTTCCATCACTCGTTGATTTTGCACATTTTCCCATAGCCTCCTCTGCCAGCATCATAGTCTTTTCGGTACTCATCTCGTACCTCAAAGGGAAAAAGCAGAAGATGTTGTCACAGCCAGGGAGAGAATGAGATGCCACAACAACCATAGATGACAGCTGAGGCAGGGGGTGCAGCTTAACAAGTGTCCCTCTGGAATATATGGTTCATTCAGCATCACACCCAGACAAGTGTTGTGGTGCAGCCAACATAGTTGAGACAATTGCCTCTCACTCAGCTGACCCCAGAGCTCCCTAATCCTCTCAACAAATAAGAGCCTTGGGATGAAGCTCAAATCGTGTGCAATTCTTTTCAAATAACACACAACTCCTCCATGTCAGAAAACAGGGTGCTCTGGTTTGTGCCAGGCACTAATTTACAAGCACCTCCAACCACCACAATCCAATGGCAGTGAACAAACTACTGAAAACCCTGACACAAATGTTATCTGCTGCTTCTGAAGTTCAACGGAAACCCAAATTCCAGAAACCATATTTCAGAATGAGAAAAGCAGCTAAAATCTGATGGGAAAACCAGAGTGAGGCCTGACTTTAGGGACCTTACCTGCCCCCCAGATCGTCCTCGTCCATACTGTCGGCCCTCTTTGAAGCCCGCGTCCCAGTCTGTTCGGATAATGCGATCATCCAAACGGGTCCCATTAATGTAACGCATGGCGTTTTCAGCATCTGCTCTGGAGTAGTATCTTGGGGTAAGCGTTAAGGAAAGGAGGGCTGTACTTCTCTAAATGTCTATAAAGATGTCCAAAGTAACCACTTTTTAAAATGTAGCTGAACACACAAAAAAGAAAGTCTGAACCCAAAAGTGACTTACTAGATACAAATGGATAGATCCCAAGTGAGTTAAGACAAAAATCTGATGAAAGAAGTTTACCAGCCTAAAAGGGATCCCAGAAAGAAGGAAGGGAACATGTATTTTTAGCACCTACTACCTGCCAGGCACCAGGCTAAGTGCCTTAACAATATGATCTCATTTGACCCTCACAACTCTATGAGGTAGGTGCTGTTATGACGCCCACTTTGCAGTTCAGGAAAGTGCCAAAGGAACGAGTGATGTCAAATATCCTGAAATTAAGGACAGACACCAAACTGCCCCAGAGAAGGACTTCACCACAAGTCCAGGCCTTCCCTAACAGCAGCCTGGCCAGGCGGCTTCAGTCAGAGTCTTCCTCCAGCAGCAATCCAACACGTCGCTCCTCACTCCAAAGCCCCAGTGGCTCCCCACTGCTCATCAGCTGTGCCTGGCTATCGAGGCCACTGCACCTTGGGGATACCTGCCTCTTTCCACATTCCTTGGGATTCAGGCACCCCTCATGTGCTTCCCTTCTGCCCCCTCTCGCTCAGACCCCAGCTGTCCAAAAGCACCCTGCCCCTACTGTGACCAACCAGCGGTCAGCCCACCTCCATCTGAAGACCTCCAAAGAGCAGGACTTGCTCCCCGACCTCTTTGGCCTATTCTGCTTGGGTGACACCTCTAATGGGAATGAAGATTTTTCCTGAGCCCAAATCAAAACATGCCATTTTGCATCATCCATCTCCTGTTCCTGCTTCTGCCTTCTGGAATTGAACACAGAGTAACAGACTTAAAACTGGAAGGGGCCTTAGAGGCTTTCAAATCTAACTCCCATTTTTCTGATGAGGAAACTGAGGCAGAGAGAGGTTAAGTGACTTGCCTCTGGGAAAACTGGAACGCAGACTTCTTGATACCACGTTCAGCACTAGCCACAACACTAAGCTGCTTCCTGGGCACCCCGGAGTCAGCCAAACAGCACAGAGTCATAAACACAGAGAAAGCCACCTGGGAACCCTGCACGGGCTTCTTCAGTTCTAACGGGCTGGCTTCCACTTAGAGCGTACAGCGTATGTGCTCAGGTCGTGCTGTAGAGATGAGGGAAAAGACGGGAGCCCCCACAGGTGAGGGAGATGCTGGGACTCAGGCCCAGGGGGCAGAAGGAAAAACAATCCTGGCTGCAAAAAGGCAGGCATGGCAGAAGGAAAAACTTCCAACAAGAAGGACTATCTAAAAATTAGATGAGCCTGGCCCAAGGGAGAACGTAGACCCGCTCACTAAAATGACCTCAAGCTAAAGCCATTTTGTGGAGATTCTAAATTTGGCAATCAGTAATTAGGGAGTTTGGCCTAGATCCTGTCCAAGGTCTGTGCCCATGCAGACACCCTGTGACTGTAAAGAAGGGGAGGGGTTTTGCCCCCCAAACCCAAGGGCTCTGAAGGGGTTCTTCTGCCCCTCACACCCTGTGACTCTAAAGGGGGAGGGGTTCCAACACACACACACACACACACACACACACACACACACACACACACACA